CCTGCGCCACCTGCACCGGGCCGCTGGACTCGCAGTGCATCACCTGCCCGGGAGACCGGGCGCTCCATGCGGGCGCCTGCCTGGCCGCCTGCCCGCCGGGCTACCACGCCCGGGCGGAGGCCGAGGCCGGCCGCGTGTGCCGGCCTTGCGATTCGTCCTGCGCCACCTGCTCCGACGCCTCGGCCACCGAGTGCACCGGGTGCATGGCGCCCAAGCTGCTGCATGACGGGGCGTGCGTGGGCGCCTGCCCCCCGGGCAGGCTCGCCTGCGGCGTGTCCGGCAAGTGCGAGGATTGCCCGGCCGGCTGCGCCGCCTGCGCCAGTGCCCTGGAGCAGCCCGGCGTCGGCTGCTTGGCTTCCTGCAGCAGCTGCGCCGGGGGGCTCGTTCTGTCGGCCAGGGATGGCCGGTGCGTGGCCGCCTGCCCGGCGGGGGAGTTCACGCCCGACGCGCGCGCCTGCGCCACATGCCATGCCTCGTGCCGGACATGCCACGCGGCGGCCGACCGGTGCACCTCCTGCCCGGACGCCCGGCAGTGGCTGCACGTGGACACCGGGGTGTGCCTGAGCGCCTGCCTGGCCGCCGGCCAGGCCCCGTCGCCGGTGGAGCCGGTGTGCCTGCTGTGTGGGAGCCGGTGCACCCGGTGCACGGCCGGGCCGGGCACGCCGGCCTGCGCCATCCTCCCGGACGGGTCGTTGGACTGCCCGCCGGCGGACCGGTGTGACCTGTGCGCCGGGGCGCACCTCCTGCACCGGGCCGAGTGCGTGCCCGAGTGTCCTGCCGGCTTCTTCGCGGACTGGCAGGCGGCGGTGCCCGGCTGCCGGGCATGCCACCCGGCGTGCGGCAAGTCCTGCTCCGGCCCGGACCCGGCGGACTGCACGAGGTCCCTGCCCAAGCAGCGCCTCGCCCTGGGCCTGGGCATCGGCCTCGGGGTGCTCTTCTGCCTGCTCGCCGCGGCCGGCATCGTGGTGTGGGTCCTTTTCCGGCGCTGGCGGCGCCGCACGCGCAAGCCCTCGGTATGTTTCGCGCCGCTCTCGCCTTTTGCGTGCTCGGCTCCCCCCCCCCCCCCCCCCCCCGGCTCCACTAACCCGGTGTGCTCCTGCGCCGCGCCGGCAGGTCGACGGCTTTTCCGAAGAAAGTACGCATGCCCCCCACCCCGGGCCTCCCGGCCCTCGGCGCCTGTTGCGATGCCCGCGCACACACATGTACTCACCCCCGGCCGCCCCTGCCTAGACGCCACCGTGCTCAACACCATGGTCGAGCTGTCGCTCCCCGGGAGCATCCTGGTGAGCATCACGAATGACTTCGCCCCGCTGGACGAGCAGCTGGGCGCCGGGACCCAGGCGTCGGTGTTCGCGGCGCGCGCCGTCGGGGCCGGCATCTCCGACCGGCTGGGCTGCCCGGCCACGGTGGCCATCAAGCAGCTGAAGGCCGCGCGCATGACGCCCACGCAGTTTTCCCTCTTCCAGAATGAGGTGGCACTGATGTGGCTGCTGCGCGACGCGCCGAACGTCGTCCGGCTGTACGGCTACAGCGAGCAGCCGCCGGCCCTGGTGATGGAGCGCTACCAGACGGACCTGTCGACGCTGCTGCACTCGGAGATCCCCCTCGCGGAGCCGGTGCTGCTCGGCATCGTCCTGCAGTGGGCCTCCGGGCTGGAGGCCATGCACCTCCAGGGCATCGCCCACTGCGACCTGAAGCCGGCCAACATCTTCCTCACCCGGCAGCCGGATGGCGCATGGTCGGCGGCCCTCGGCGACCTGGGCACCTCGCGCAGCCTCAACACCGACCGGTCCACGGCCCTCATCAACCAGGCGCCGGAGCTGAATGCCATGACCGCGCGGTATGCCGCGCCCGAGGTGCTGGTGGCCTTCCAGCGCCGGCGCCCGCTGGGCGCGGAGTCCCTCCTGGCGGCGGACATCTACAGCGCGGCCATCATGCTGTGGGAGTGCCTGACTCGATCGGTCCCCTGGAAGGGTGTGTACACTTCGCTGCTCGGGGCGCCTTGCCCGGGCCCCCCCTGCTGGGGCTCTGTCTTGACGGGGTACTTACATCAGAATGCCCCCCCCCCCCCCCCCCCGTTGCCTCCCTTCCCGATGCCCAGGCCTGGGCTTCGACGAAATTATCGCCGCTGTCCTGGCCGACCGGCGCCCGGACCAGGCGGCCTTGGCCTCCGGCGGCAGCCGGATCCCCCTTGCGACGGACCTCCTGGGCCTGGCATGGGACTCGAGGCCGCACGCCCGGCCGATGGCCGCCGCCTTCCGGCAAAAGTGCGCCGCCTGGCTGGCCCTCCTGTGAGGGGGTGCGCGGGGCCGCGGGGCCGCGGCTGGCCACCCTCTGCCACGGCGCCGGCCGCACTCCCTCCCGCTGCTTCGGCTTTCCCGCTGCCGGGCCCTGCGCCCTGGCCCGGGGATGTGCGGTCATTTTCCGGTGGCGCGCGCCCTGGCCGAGGTCCCTGCCGCCAGCACGGGCGCCCACTCGACCGCCCCCCTCTCTCCATGTTTATGTCTGCCCCTCGGCCGCCGTCCCAGCTGGCGTCAATCGCGACCGGGGGCAGCCCCCCCGCTGCCGGGCCACGGGGTTTTTTAATATATGGCTTGGGCACATGTGAACGCGCCAGGGGCTCTGGCGTCGGTGTGCGCGCGCGCGCGCGCGCGCGTGTGTGTGTGTGTGTGTGTGTGTGTGCGCGAGGCCGCCCGGCATGCTGGTGGCCATCTCCCCGGCCGAGGCCCCCGGGGTGGGGTGGCGGGGGTGCGTGCCTGGCCGGCGGCTGCCGGCGCCGGCTCGGCCTGCTCGGGGGGCGGGCCCGGTGCGGGCGAGGCCGCGGGGCAGGGTATGGCCCTCGTGTGACCCGGGTCCCCTGCTCGGTGATGCCTCGGGGAGGGTTCTCCCGCTGGCGGGTCCCGGCCTTGGAGGCGGGCGGGGG